CCTGCGCGGCGCTTGGCTTTAGCCGGGTTTGGAAGAACGGAGTCTTCCACTGCCCGGAAAGCAAGCTGCCTGCAACACCACCCCAAAAGAACTTGGCTTGCCCAAGATTAAGCCACAAATCCTGGTTTACCACCCCCAACGCAGGGTGGGCTCAACAGGCTGAGCCGCCAACCACCAAACCTCTTTCCCTTCCTCCTTGGAAAGCAACTCCTGCTCGCCACGAAAATATCCCCAGCCCAAAACATGGCTTCTTGGCCAAGCCACACAAGCCCTTGAGCCAAGCATCCCACATCACAGGGGTGAGTCAGAGGGACAAGCCTCTTCCAGCCAAACAACTTCAGGAACAGGACTGCCCGCCTCTCTGCAAAATAAATAAATGCCTAAATAAAACGGGATACCTCAGGCAAGGCTTCCTCCTCCCAAGAAATATGAAAATGAAAACACTTGAGTTAAAAGCAGTTTTTTTGGTACAGAAATGGAGTCCCGATAAATAAAAATATTTGTTGCTCAGAGTTGACCTGGACTCCTCAGTGCTCTCTGGGCTTGGTTGTTTTCTTGCAGACCTTTCACGACACAACTAGGTAACATCATCAATGCTACAAGGGAATGGCATTCACTCTCAAATTTATATTCTAGTGGCTTGCCCTGTCTCTCTGTCTTGGAAGTTATTTGGTTGGGCTGTTTATTGTTAGCTTGGTTTGGCAGTTCCTTGAAGAATTTCCAAGACGACTCCCAAGACAAGTCACTAGAATATAAATTGAGAACCCTCCTTGTTCGCACTGATGATGCTGCCTACTTGGGTCATGAAATGTCTGCAAGAAAACAACCAAGCTCAGAAAGCACCTAGGACCCTCCAGGTATGTGGGTATATAGCCTAGAAAAACCAGATTGGAGTCAGATCACCCTGGAGAAGATATATAAACACATTCTCACCTAGCTAAAAAGAAAGGGCCATATTGTGGATTCTAGGCGCCAATGCTTGCTTGCCCAGGAAATCAACACCTTCTGTGCCAACAGAATAAGGAAATACCCTATCCAAGGACCATAGTCTGAGAAATTTACTGTCTTCCTAGGAGCCTGAGATTCACGTATGTTGTCAGTTCCCTTAATGCCCTGCTTTGCAACAATCTCTCTACACAACCTGCTTAATATGGAGGTATAACCTATGTGTTTTGGGGATGTCTGTCTTTGGAGAATTCTCACAGGCACTCAAAAAGCAACATTTTTAATTGCATTCTCTACCATAGTCAGATGCTCTGTACATCACCGCTGCTTGTGACCAACCTGAATAGTATAAACTCTTCAACCATGTGCCCAGTCCACAATTTCATTCCAAACTGAACTGGAATGGATCCTATCGGATCCTGCAATCGATTCGACACACACCCTTTGCTAAGACAAATCTCTTTTGCCATCGAAACTCTGCATTCTGTAATAAAATCTCTCACGCAAATGCCATGACGTACGCACACTATTTAACTTCTGTTCTTTTAATCCAGCCCAGCTACAGATGGCTTTTTTTAAAATGTAGAATGCCATTACCATTCCTCATTTCTTACGTAAGTTTGCACCAAGCTCGCCGACTTGCAGCTAGAGGAACAGGGCAGGAAGCAATGTGGCTAAGGGGATGTGATCTCGCATCTCGTCATCCCAATTGAAGACATGTCCCTCTAGGGACCACATCTATGAGGCTAAATCCCCCTCCCTAAAGTATGCTGCGTGCTTTGATTTGGCTCCTTAAAGCTTTATCAAGTCACACTGGACACAGCCGCAGGACGTTTAAAGGTGCTGGGTACCCCCTTATGTTTGCTTTAAGAATCGCTGTGAAGTCATTCTTTCCATTCGTTCCCCAGAACTGGATTTACAAGACTGGCCCACAGTTTTAACTCTCTTAGTGAGTCAGCAGCTAGGTTACAAAACTAATCCTAACAAATCAAGATGCCTGTGAGGTGGAATGCAATGATGAATTCCATTCACATTGGGCTCCTCAGTTCAAGCTAATGCCTTCATCCGAAAACAAATGCCTCTTCTCACAAGATTATTCTGGACCCAAACACCAGCGATTCTTAAAACTGCCCATCCCTAACGAAGCGCCTTCCAAATTCCCTGAGAATTACAAGAGTCAGTTTACATCTGCAAAACACCCAAACTGAGAAGAACATTCTAGAACACGGTTTCTGCGGTATATTCTCGGTGACACAAGAGTACTGGCACCCTCTCTTTCTCTTTTTTTTTTTTTTACTGTTACACTAGACGCAAATTAAAAAAAACCTGTCCTTGTTAGCTGGCTTGTTATGCTCCATAGTACCCTTCTTACGAGAAGAGAAATTATCTGACGTTGATAAAAAATTAAAAAGTTGAATCGGGATTTTGGAGGGCTGTTTTCCAAAGCTATCAACGGCTGGGGTAGATAGTACTTGCTTTTAATCTTGAAGGAGTTTCATGATTATACGAATACAGCCGCATGCAACTCCTCTCTTTATCCTAAATACGTTCATCAGCTTTTCTGACTACATGTTTTCTTATCTTCGATCGGATACACAGAAACCTAAAATTAATTCCAATTCCTTTTAAGGAGAATGAGGATGGCTAAACCCCGTGCTAATATTTAGAGACAGGTTTCGTACAGGATTTCTCCATTTTGGAAAAAATAAATCAATTTATCGTCGCTATTAAAAAAATAATAATACTGGAAAAGCATCTTTCTGGCCTTAAAAAAAAAAAAAAAAAACAACCACCTCTTCCTCTAGTTTTTTTTTTCACTATTCCTTTTTAATGATACCCAGTTACCTACCATCACTTTTAGGGAATCAAATACCTAAGGATACTTATAAGTAACTACCTTACTGAAGGTGAATGATGTAGTATAAGTGTAGAGCATGTGCATAAATATAGACAGTCTGCGTCATAATTCTAGCCAAAAGGGAGAGCCAAAATTTTAATAACGTACTTTACTTTCTGCGTTCCCTCAACCCTTCTCTCTCTCTGTTTATATACAAACCCAGAAGACATATTTTGTCTGGCTTGCCACTAACAGACCCGAGTCTTCAGCCCATCACAGGCAAAACCTCTCCCAAAGAAAAGCTAAACCTATTAATTTCGAAAATGGTCAAATGCTACGGGAGCTGCAAAACTGCACGGGAAACCCAAGTCGACAAGGAGAAACAAGTTAAGAAGCGTGCACAAACCTTGGAAAAGAACCGAAGAAAGTATTTGTTTACACTGGCCTTTAGTCAGTCACTCTGACTTTACACTGACCCATTATATGCAGGTAGTCCTCGACTTAACAATGGTTCATTAAGCGACTGTCCGATTGTTTTTTGCTCTTAATGACTGTTGCAACACACACCCACACACCCACACACACACACCGTAACACGATTAAAATTCAGGCGCTTGGCAAACCTCTATCAACATGGTCCTCTTTTGCAACTCTTCAAACAAGCCAAGTCAACGAGGGAGATTCAATAACCGTGTTATTAACTGAACAACAGCAGCGATCCACTTAACAACTGTGGCCAGAAATATTGCAAAATGGGGCAAACGCTCGCTTAAAACGGTCCAGTTTAGCCACGGAAAGTTTGGGCTGTAAGTCAAGGAATAACTGTCTGTTGTTTCTCCGTTATTCCTTTGGATTACGGTGCCCTGTTATTAATTATTGCTTCTGTTAAACCCCTCCCCACCCTACAAGCCTGGGAGGAGCAGCTGGACTTCCAATCTGACAATAAATAAAAAAAATAACATCTACAGTTCCTCTCCCCATATCCTTCCTCCTGTTCTCCACCTGCAGTTAACTAATTGCTTCCCTTTGCAGAGCGCACGAACTCCCATATTACAGTCTTTCTGAAACTCAAGGCTGGACCGTCAGAAATGGAAATCCTGCCTTATGTCAGAAGCCTAACGGGGAGACCTCCACCAGCTCTGCCAAGAGGAGACACCCCACCCGCAACCTCCTCATCGAAGCCCCTAAAACAGCTGGGCAAGGCAGCCATGGAGGGGGGGGGGGGGGGGAAGGTCCCTCCCCCCCCCCCCCCCCCCCGCAACTTTTCCTTCTTCCCCACGCCACAAGCAGCAACACTGCAGAGCCCTGACAGTCCTGTCTCAACGCAGCAGCTGACCCTCACATGTCCCGCCCCTGCAGACACACTCACCCTAAAAAAAACGGGGGGGGGGGAGTTTGACACTTCTCTTTTGCATTTTAGAGCTGGGGAGGGAAAGGGGATTTCAGCAATAGCCCGCCCCTCCCCGGGAGAGCCAGAGGGAAGCTGGCCAGTCCCTGCTGGGGCAAAGGTATGAAAATTGCACCTGCCTTAAAAGCTCTTTTCCTGGCTGGACAGAAGCCAAAATGAATCAGCCTTCCTCCTGCCCTTTTCTTAAGCCGCCATCACCTCCAGCTCGATCTACTCTTTGGAGGAAGAGGAGGAGGAGGAGGAGGAGGAGGAAGAAGAGGAGCCTTCGTCTTCTGGGAGTGAAGATGGAAGAAGAAGAAGAAGAAGAAGAACATTCTGGCTACTTTCTTTTTTTCATCTAAGACACATTATTCCCATCTAAAGAGCCGAACATCCCCCTCCGCCACTGCTTGGGGAACTGGCCAGCCGTCCCGAGTTTCTCCCCTTAGGGACGTGTCCAAAAACCCCCCCCCCCCCCTCCTTAAATGTTCCAAAAGATGTTCCAACCTCGGGAAACATCGGTCGGTCCCTACTTTGCAGGGTTGTCGTTGTGCAAAAAAAAAAAAGAAAGAAAACTGGCAAGGCTGCCCAGCTGCTTTAAGTCTCTTATGTAAATAAAACGCGGAAAGGGACCGACTGGAAAAGGGGAAGGAATTGGGGTCAGCCAAACTGTTTCTTCATTCTACATCCCCCCTCACTCCCTCCACCCCCCCAAAAAAACAACCACTAGGTTGCTCTGACCACTAGCCGTCACATCCTGAAACTTTGCTGGGGCGGACCCGAACCTCCCACCCACCTTTCAAACCCCTAAGACCAAAGTGGTTCCAATACCTACGGCCGCTCCGATCCTTTTTGGTACCCAAAAGGCAAAGCAAAATAAAAACAAAACCGTGGGAAAAAAAATATTAGGAAATTATAGATATATATATATATATGAAGAGAGCGAGAGCGAGAGAGATCTACAGTCGTCATCATGTCCTTGGAAGGCGTCCAAACCGGAGACCGGATCTCCCGAGGCTGTCGGGCACCTGAAGCGGTCCGGGAGACTGGACGCCCCGGGCCGGCGGGCTCCGGAGAGAAGACGCCGCTCCGGGCGAGGAAGAGGAGGAAGAAGGAGGAAGGGGAGTCGCAGCCTCCACCGGCTCCATCTCGCCGTCTTTCTTCCGGGGTGGGGGGGACTCCACTCCTCGAGCCCGAGCGAAGCGTCGTGTCCCCGGTTAGATGTCCGATCCCGGACCGGCTGCGCGGAGGATGAGCTCCGGCGCGGCGCGAAACCCAAGAGCTCGGACTTAAGAAGCAGCGAGGGTCTCTCTCTCTCTCTCTCTCTCTCTCCTTCGGGCAAGGAGGTGGGATCGGGAGGCCGGCGAGCGGGTTTGGCTTCCTCGCCCGCCGCCGCCGCCGCCGCCGCCGCCGCTCCTCCTCCTCCTCCTCCTCTTCCCCGTCTGTTTACCTCGAGTTTGAATTTTATCTGCGCAACATTAGCTGGAATGCGGACATCAGAGGCGAGGGGGGGGGGAAGGGGCGACCCGCCCCCCCCGCCCCCGGGGGGGGCCGTGCGCGGGAGCTCCCGCCGAGACAGGCGGCCAGCCGGGGCAGCAGCAGCAGCAACAGCAGCAGCAGCTCGCCCGCCCGGCCGCCGCTCCTCCGCCACCTCGCCGTGGCGCATATCGCTTGCAAGGCGAGTCTTCCCTCCTTCCCCTCCCCGGGGTGGGGGGGATGTAAGAGACACCCCCCTCTTCACTTCCCCCATCCATCCATCCCCCCCGTCCCGGCTTCCTAAGCCGTCCCCGGACTCCCTTTCCCAGGACCGAGCTTTTCAAAACAACCGAGAAATCGTGGTTGGGTTTAAAAAGAAGAGATCACGCCCCTCTATTTCCCCCCTCCCCACTCGTTGCCCACTCAAAAGCATCTCAAGCATCTCTTCTCTCCCCCCCCCATAAGAACTCAAAAGAAGTAAATAAGTACATTCAAAAAAGAAAACGGTACATAAGACGCTGAAAGGGTTTCCGCCAATGGGGGGGG